CCCTTGTCTTTGTCGGTAATATCATTCTGCCTATATATCATGCGCCGCTGCGCGGCTGCTGGTTGGGCTCGAGAGAGAGTCCATAAGGCACACCGGAACGAGTGAGTTCCGTATGAACGATCGGTGAGCGCCCCCTAACATTATATATATATATATATATATATATATGAAAAGGACGTTCGACAGTCGTGCTGGATAAGACAGACTACGTGCAGAAGGCGAACGCTCTACTGGAGGACCGACAGGCATACCTCCCATGTGGTGAAGAATCGATAAAGAAACTGGTGACTCAACTGGACAAGACGCTCGCCGACATGCAATCAAACAAAGCAATAAGTAAGTCGGTACGGCTGGCCGTTAAGCCAACAGATGCTGCCCCACCACGATTTTATGGACTACCGAAGGTACACAAAGCCGGTCTCCCCCTCCGACCAATTGTTTCGTTGCGCGGTGCACCAACATATAATCTGGCAAAGTGGCTATTCCGCAGCATGAGGTCTCTCACCTCGGACTCGACCACGACCGTCTGTTCAGCGGCTCAGTTCCTGGAGCGGCTCAAAGGGATGCGGCTAAACGAAGATGAGGTCATGGTGTCATTCGACGTCACCTCTCTCTTCACTTCGATCCCGCAATGGCTAGCAGTCGAAAGGGTTGGCGAACTGCTCGAAAGAAAGTACGACGAGACGGGCGAAAGCGTGAAACGGAGACATCTCATTCAACTGTTAAAGTTCTGCCTGAAGACGTTCTTTACGTTCGAAGGGAGAGTATATGAACAGATCAAGGGGACACCGATGGGATCACCGCTTTCGGGCTTCATAGCAGAAGCAGTTCTACAAAAAGTGGAGACCGCAGTTTTTGAGATCTACAGGCCAACATTTTGGGCTCGGTATGTCGATGATACCTTTGTCATCATCAAGCGGGAAATGGTTCAAGAATTTCGCAATGCCCTGAATTCTGTCTCCCCTGATATCCAGTTCACAATGGAGGCGGAAAGCAATAAACAACTGCCGTTCCTGGACGTACTGGTTCATCGGAAACCAAGTGGCCACCTAAAAACAACGGTGTATAGGAAAGCCACCAATACAGGCCAAATCCTCAGCTACCACAGCAAGCACCCGTTATCCCACAAACGCAGCTGTGTACGAACACTGTACAAAAGGGCAGAAACACACTGCAGCGAGCCAGACGACAAAAGGTTAGAATTACGCAACCTCCAGCGCCTCTTCATGGCGAACGGCTATCCTCGTAACTTCATAGAACGCAACAGGCAGCCTGGTCCAAGCCGAAGTTCGGTGACAGAACAGCCAAAAATCTGGCGGGCGCTTCCTTACATTGACGGCGTCTCTGAGGCGGTCTCCCGTCTGCTAAGACCACTGGGGATTGGCATTGCCCATCGGCCAGAGTCAACAATTCGAAATCTGGTCATGAGACCTAAGACCCCCCTGCCACGCGGCGAAACAACGAACGTCATTTATCGGATCCAGTGCAGTTCCTGTGATATGAACTATATTGGAGAGACCGGCAAACGACTGCACACGCGTGTTGCAGAGCACATGAGGGCAGTTAGGCGGATGGACCCGTTGTCTCTAGTGGCAGAACACTGCGCAAACTCTGGACACACGTTCGCCTTCCAGAATGCTGAAATCCTGGGCCGGGGAAACGACCGCATCACGAGGGAAACAATCGAGGCCTGGCACACTGGCGCGAACTCCATCAACCGCAGCGTAGCGCTTCCTGAGGCTTACCAGGCCCTCCGGACGCAGCTTAGTGAACAGAAGAGCAGAGTCAGGCTGCGACAAGACAGAAACCCAAGTACGGCCGAGTCCATGGGGGCCACACGCGCAGCGGTACTTCAACCCGAATCTGACGAAGGTGCGATCGTCACTACAGCCGCGTCGTCCACTTATCTGGCAGGTGTGAGGACGAACGATCGCAGTAACGCCAACGGACCCGATGAAGGTGCTATCATCACTGCCACTCATGCGGCAGGTGAGAACACAAGTGACGGCAGGGTGACAAAGAAGATTGCCAGCCTAGGACGGGAGCTAAGGTCAATGCGATGACAGCTAAGCGTCCAAACGACAGCCCCTGAATAGACGCAAACCCGTTGTAACAAGATCGTCACCGCCTATAAATACTGTAAGGCGTGGTACTAAACTCACCTCCGACGATGAAATCTTGTTTGATTTTGAAACGTCAGGGCAATATAACAATGGTTCCCGAGATCGCCTCTTCTTCTTATATATATATATATATATATATATATATATATATATATCAGGTGAATAATTTCAGAAATTAATCAGTGCAGAACTTGGAGTTAACTCTCCGGGACATGACTTTTTAGGGTCAGGACCGAAATTTCAATGAACATTTGAGTCGAAGACAATCAACTACTGTGGAATAACCACGTAATGCCCATTCTACAAACAAGTAGTACTACGACTAGTATGAAATCCATATAGTAAAGGTATTATACCGTACTTCCGACGTACATGCTTGCTAAAAGCCCAGACACGTGTTTCGCCAATATTCTGCCGCTGCGTGACACAGCTGCGAGGGGTTCGGCTCTTCAGTGGAACCCCCAGCGTTCTCTAGCGGTTTCTGGTATATGAACTCCAGAGAATAATCAGGTGAATAAATGGAGGGTCATTTACCGGATAGGCTGCAGTTGTGGTCAAGCCAATTATGTCGGTGGAACCGGCAAACAGGTACGCACGAGATTGCACGAACACGAGTTGGCTGTGAGACGAAAGGATAAACTCTCCTTGGTAGCCGTCCGCGCCTCCTCGCCAAAACACGACTTCGACTTTCATTGCGTAAGAATATTGGGTCAGTCGGACGACCGAGTTGCTCGCCTGCTGCAGGAAGCGTGACAGTCAACCGAGGACTCGATTAATCGACATATCGATCTGCCAATCGCCTATCAAGCACTGCGTGAGCAAGTCAGCAGCGCAGCTAGAGGTCACCCCCGGCAGAGGTGAGCTAAATGTACGATGAGTTGTACACCTTTTCATTCCTTGACGATGGGCTCGCGTGAGAGTTCGGAACGTCGGAG